TTTTAATTGCTGCACGCAGTCTGCATCACGATCCAACTTGGTCTGGATCCTGGCTTTAGCCAACACACATCTGGGCCTATTTACACACAGAAATTTATCTGACGCACGCACGCACGCACACACGCACACACGCTATAATATACAATTCAATTTCACAAATGTATATAAGGCTTCAAAAGTACAGCACTGTGGCGCGTTCCAAAATGAAAGGCAGGTTTTCTGTTAGGTCTGAGCTGCCTGCAGAGTGAGACAGACCGAGAAAGCCAGGCAGAGGGTTGCCTTCATTTAAGCTGTTCTGCACTGAGGCTTTTCAATTTGATTATGAGTTTCCATTTCATAGAGCCTGGATGCTGTGTGCTATTTAGAATAAAATTGAGCCATTTCTTAGCTGGACGAGCTGCCTCTGCGTCTCCTCTCTGGGGGCTTCGTGGGCAGTCAAGGGCATGCTGGCCCCCCATGCCCGCTCTGCCACACTCTTTAGTAGTGTTGCAGTGAACATGCCAAACAAATAAACTAAATAACTGAGCAGCTTTGGTGACTGGCCGAGTGGGCATGAGAATGGAAGGCACTGAGTGTTTGTGAGTTTGGAAGGTGATGTGAGGATTCCTGCTTCAAGCCTGTGAACGTCTGAGGGACTGAACAAGGATCCAAATGGATTTCAGTAATTTTTTAATTCAATTCAAATATAATAATAAAAAAAATACCACAAAGGGAAATGAAATAATCTTATAACGCAATCTGTCCAAGTTTCTTCAGCGACGTTGTAGATGGTGATGTCTGTGAACAGGAAGGATCTCCTGTAGCGGTCTGTTGTACAGTAGATCTGTTAGCGCCTCTGATTGAAGACACTCTGTAGTTCTATGACAGTCCAGTGAAGGGGCATCACTGCTTGCAAACTGCAACTGGATCTCAGTTAAACTGAATGTGATGTTATTCCTATTGAGTTCTGGCTTCAAGGGCCTTGGCGTTGTCTTGCCATGTTAAGCACATGGAACAGCCTGACTGTAGCAGTAATGTGCAACACTAGCTGACAAAAATCTGATGTATTATGAAAGTAGAAAATAAACTTAAGAGCATAATTTCTTTGCATTTATGCTCATTCTTGAATGTAAACCTATTTTCTTAAAACAGGTTTTTGTGCCCAGAATTTCTCTATAATTGTACAATAAAGGAATTTTTTAGCGTAGTAGACTTGGCTGAGTCTTACCTTTGCTTTCTTACAGTCCAGGATCCATATTTCTACTTCAAATATCCAGGACACTAAAAATACTCTTAGCTGGGAGCAGGACTTCAGAGCTATTTAAATCACCAACAAGAATCACAGATTCTTTTTTTAACATGTCTGACATATTGTGATGAATCAAAGGAAAAAGTGATGCTTTAGTTTCTCGCAAATGGATGTCATCTGGATCCAAAACATAAAAACAGTTAAATCGTAGGCCTTAGTTTCACAAAAGGAAATCTATTTTCAGTTTTCTAAAAAAAAAAAAAAAAAAAAAAAACTAATCTTTTTTTTGAGTGTCAGCACACATCAGCAATTTATGCTCAGACATTTCTGATGTGACATCAAAACAATTTCTGAAGCTACACTTTCTCCTTAAATCTATTAGTGGCCATTGGCATTGAAATGATTAAAGACATGGGGAATTCTAATCTTTGTTGCTAAATGCTATGTTGGTCAAATGAATTATAAAATCAGTCACAAGACAGTAAAGTTCAGATTCCCTCTGCAGGGAACTCCGCTGTTATCTTAATTTGTTGAACTGGTATCAAATTAGCTCTGATTAGCTCTGATCTAATTTAGTCCAGGCACAAAGAACAGCACCCTGATCTCCACTGCCATATCAGCATCTATCTGCACTGTTTCCTGTCATTCAAACTCAAAGTTCACTTACTCCACTGACTTCTGAAGTATAGAGGGCTTCTAATGGCACAGATTAAAAAGCAATTTAATACAGAAAAGGGGATTAGAAACACTATGGGCTGCACTAATCCTTAACCTTTAGTTCTGTTCTTATTCGCCACAATATGCGGAAGATGATAGCATCACAGGATGAGAGTTAGTGAATTTCCATTAGGGCTGCCCTTCTGTATTCCCACCAGCACTTTTAAAGGCATTAGGCACGCTTTGTCAAGGCTAATAAAAAGGTCTGGCATTGGTATTGCATCCCCCCAACTTTTTTTTTTTTTTTTTTTTTTTTTTAAGCTACTGTTCTGTGTGATGTCTTCATAACCCATTATGATAATCTGCCCGGGTCTCCGAAGGACCTGGGGCGACAGCCACATAGATGCTGCTGGGGTGACCGATGGATGGAGTGGTTTACTACATCGGTGGATGGAGTGGTTTTCTCCATCGGTGTAAACCATGGAGTAAGCACTACAAGAAATGCGTCTTGTAGTGCATTTCTGCACTAAAAGACGACGCAGAAATGATATTGATCTTAGAGAGAAAATGCCTGGTTCTTGTTCAGCTTAAGGAAATCACTCTCTTAAAGGGATAGTATTATGTAAAATTGACTTTTTAAGCTTTAAATTGAGTTATGATGTCATTCCCTCATCAGAAACATACCTGGAGTGTTGCTTTAACGCTTTCACGCATGTTTGAGAAATCCTTTAGTCTCCCATGGCAACCATTCAGCTGTGTAAAACCTCTCAGTGGACCTAGCCCCGCTTTCAAGCTGCAGCTCCTCCTCCAAGCTGCAGGTTCCACGCTTCTGCCTCCCACTCGACTCCTCCCTCTGCTCCTCCAGACTAGCCAGCAGCACTTATCACACACCTGGTGGAACTGCACATGTACAGAGCTTATTACATTAACGGTGCACATAACCTCGAACACACTATCGCCATCCAGAATGCTGGTGGTGGTAGTATCATGGTTTGGTAATGCTTTTCTTCAGCAGTGACAGATGAGATGGTAAGATTTGATTAGAAGACGGAAGACACCAGACACAAAAAACAAACAAAACTAGCAGAGGCTGGAAAAGATGAGATTAGGCCAGAGGTTCAGGTTTAACAGGACAATAGACCTGAACATCCAGGACGAGCTATGAATGTTTTGGATTAGCAGAAATGTTGTTGAGCTCAATAAATATGTTATAGCGGATTAAAAGGAAACTTTTCCCAAATTATTTCAACACTCGCTTCAGTGAACTTTTATATCAAATTAGAAATGTATCTGCATATCAATTTTTCTGTCAATCATAAAAAAAGATATATAGTCAATGTCTTCTTCTGCCCTTGTGGCTGCTACAGCTCTCCACAGTAAAGAGTGTTTGTGTGACAGGAAAAGGGGTCATGCCAAGCATTAATCATTCATATCTGCATTTGTGCAAAAGCACAGATTCAATTTTCTGCACTTTGTATGGTCCACTGTTGGTTATGTGGTTTTATTTATACATCTGGAGCTATTCATAATTCATTTGTTTTTAAAAGTTCCTATTTTAATTTCATTCTGTAGAGGGAAGAGCTCATCGAGACATCACATGATGCCATCCTTAAAGAAAAAAAAATCTCAAAAAAGAGACGCATGCAAATATTTACTATTTCACAATTTTGGATACTTCATAGTTTGCAATAAAAAACCTTATTGCAATAAAACCTTAACTTATAATGCCTTTGAAAGGCACTATAGGTTAAGGTATTCATACCTATTGAAATTTACACATCTCGTGGAACTGAAACCCAAAACTTCAGTGCATTTTTGGAGTTTCTTTGTAATAAATCAGTGTGTAATGTCAGATACTTTCAAAATGTATGCAAAATGAAGCGGCCAGGAAGAGACCAAAAATTTTTGTGACCAACCTGCAAAACACTCTGAGGTAGAAAACTAACTGTGCACATGACTGTGAACACATCATCCCCATGGTTACTCATGGTGGCAGCAGCATCATTAAACGGATAACTGTCCCACCCCCTACTACATTATCACAGCAGTTACCTACTTTAGCTATGTCTAGCACCACGTGATCGGCCTTAGCTGCCTCTCCATATGCAGTGCTAAAATAATAAACTACATTTACCTTCCTGCCTAAAACTCCTGGGGCTTGGTCATCAAACTTGGGTTTTTGGTCTTAATATAACATCACAGCCTTACGGTGTTGTTAGCTAGCACATTTTGGCAGACAACAGTCAGTCATCTTCAGATCCAGCCCATAGAAATCCAAAGTTTCAGTATTCATGGTGATACTTCCTTCTTTTGTTAATTTGCTTGACCCAGACCATATCTTATCTCTCACCATAGCTTTAGTCTGTCCATCTGGTCTCTGGCATAGGCTTGATGAAGTTGGCTAAATGTCTGCAGTTACTTTGTCTGGTTATTTTTTTCCTCATGAAGAGCACTTTGAAAAGCCCTGGTTTAGCTCAAAACATATCCATGTTAGAATGGGCCAGTCCAATCCAGATCCAGGTGAGAATTTATGGCAAAACGTAAATATTACTGCTCACAGCTGCTGTATAAAGAGACTGAACTAGGGCTCTTTTGCAAAGAAGTTTGGGGAAAAAAATGTAGTCTAAAGTTGTTCAAAGCTGGTACAGACAAACCCTGGAAGACTTGAAGATGAAACAGAACTGAAAGCAAGTTCTAGAAGGTATTGACTCAGGGGACGAGAATACAAATGGATGGCACACTTTTGAGGTTTTAATCTGTAAAAATTATTTGGCATAATTTCCTTTTGCTTCACAGTTATACACAACTTTTTGATGGTATGGTGTACATCGTTTGTGGTTGTTGTGTTACAACATGTCAAAAAATGAAAGGGGATTGGATTTTTGCAAGGCATTGTAGTATTGGTGGTTTTCAAAGGATTTATTTTTGTTTTTAATTTGTGGTTCTTCTCAACAATGAACCAAGTATTTATCCGTCTGTCAGTTGCTGCTCAAACTCCCGCATCAGTGTCCTATTTAAACAATGAACCTGTGTGGGTTTCTTCAACCCACTGATAGATTTTACACCTTGTTTGTTGTGAGAGTGCTTTATTTATTCTTGCTCTTTCTGTTTCCAGACCTCAACTGAGCAGAAGAAGCTGAGCCATGCTGGATCCAAGCCCTCCCTCTCTGAGAGCAGTGGCCGACTCCCTCAGATAGCCATGAACACCTGCAAGTACAATGGTGGAGTGGTAAGACCACTAGTAGGCAGCCTGGCGTCCTCGTCGCGCCGAAACCTTGCGGAGCTTGACTCGGAAACGCAACCCTTGCAGACGTTGCACAGCTCTGGCTTAGAGGTGGTGGTGTCCAAGGGCAACGGCGGAGAGGACCCCAGTAAGGCATCCAACGAGAGCCTGGTAAGGGAGGGTAGCGGGCGAGGCGGCGGCAGGGCTCCACAGAAGAAGAACAAGGACATTGGCTACAAGCTCGGTCACCGGAGGGCGCTGTTCGAGAAGCGAAAGCGACTCAGTGACTATGCACTCATCTTCGGGATGTTTGGGATTGTTGTCATGGTGACGGAGACAGAACTTTCATGGGGGGTTTACACTAAGGTGGGTTTTGTGTGTGTGAGTTAGAACAAAGTGTGTCTGATTTCTGTCATTTGTGTGGATACTGCCGTTTTCAGCTTTGTGGAAAGAGATTATTAATATTGAAGTGTATTTCTGATATCAGATGCTTCCCCCAACCCTTACTCTGAGCATCTTCTGTTAGGATCAATCCAGATAAGTTGGTCCAGGAAACTGAAACCATGCTGAAACCACCCTAAGATGGAGCTCAACCAAAGAATCCTTCTGCCGACCTAAAACAACTCAGTAACTCAGTCTGTATTGTGTTCAGGATGCAACAGTCTCTGGGTTTGATGTGCTTCTTCTGTAGTGAGCATCTGGCAAATCAACAGGACAAAATTACAAATCTGACTGAAACAAAACACACCATGCACTGTTCTGATAACAACAAAGGTAAAGCAAAGATTAAGATTTTGGATATTTAAGTTTATTTGATTCTAATCCTAGTTTAAGCCTAAGAAGTTCTCAGAAAAAGAATGGATCCAGAAGATCTGTCTGTCTTCAAAGAGTTCCATCTATGTTCCTGTGTTTTAAACACTAAGTTTCTGGTCAGAGAAATAACCTAATTGACAAGTAAGGCCATAAAATAGAAAATAAATAACATCTACACTTTTCATACTTTGTATTTTTGGAGTAGTTTGGTCCCAGTTGCTCTTGGACTACCCTTTAGCTTTCAGGACCAACTAATCTGTAGTTAAGCTAAATAATGTTGCCATTAGCAATATCTACTGTAAGAAATATATTGATTGATTTTTTTTCCCCCATTTAATAGAATTTCATTTCACAAATCCTGAACTATCCTAACAAACCCTCTTTTATTCGAACAAATATCATGCTTTATCTGCTTCATCAGCTCCCAGTGCAAAGCAGACCGAGTTAAAAGTTAGAAATTGAAAAGGATTAAATCGTTTGAGACAGATCTCCATTAATAATGCAATGAGTGTATGAAAACAGAGTGGAAGCAATCATATTTAATGAGACAATCTACAACAGTCATGTGTGTTGAAGCAGTTCTAAAGGTTGTAGGCCACCGGCCCTCCAGGTCTGGATTTGAAGACCTCTGATTTCTACTATTCTAATGCAAGTCATTCTTACTGACTGCTGAAGAAATGATTTCAGTCAAAATGATGCTGCCACCACTATATTTTAGAGGTGTGGTGTGTTCAAGGTCTGACGGTCATTTAATTTGTGATGGACGTTAACTAAAGGCAGCTTGTAGATGCATTACATCACAGTGATGGAGTTTTCTCAGTATGCGAAATATGCTCTTTATCACTTAGTACTGAACTACGCTTGCAGTTTGAGTGTCTTGAAGTGTCTTTTGTTCTAAACTTAGGCCACAGTGCCACACAGCGCACTGTCCTAAACAACCATTCAGCTACATGCAAAGTCATTTTCCCAGCTCACAAATAGAACTACTTACACAACCATCAATGAGCTACTTGTGCATCAGTTATGTCCAAATAGAATTGTGTCACTGAACAGCTTTACTTGGTGTCTCTGTATTTTGATGAAATTGTCATAAAGCGAGACATAAACTGACTACCTCTTAACTACCATTTGGTGTTGTTTATGGTAGTGGAATACCCCTGCTTCTAATACACTAGTGTTGTCCTAATACATCATAGTCATGTGAACAAAACATTAAATATTTACACTATTAAATATTCAGTTCTTTAAAATGAAATTGACATACATGTACAGCTGTTTTTTTGTTTATTAATCTGTAGAAAATAGAATTGTATAATTACTGGCAAACACCAAAAGTTAACCTTGTTTTAGTCACTGAACAAAATATAGCAGCCAAAAATTATTTTTCTAACTGAGGAGAAAGGTAGAACACCCTACAGTTTTTTTTTTTTTTATGTATCCAGTATGGAAAGATGAGGTATCAACAATGAAAAATCCAGGAGCTTAAATACAGAGGAGTGTGATTACTAACAGGGTGCAGCTGGAAGGGAAGGCCCTTTGGGTTGGTACAGATTGAGACTTTTTCCAGCTGAACGTCCCACTCTCTCTTGTTCTTGTACCGCTTGAACAAACAAACAAAACAAACCTCTTTGTATTTGTGTTAATGGTCACAAATTATACTTTCTCAAATCACCATGCAACATTATGTATTTTAGGAGTTAGAAAGTTCATGTTTCTAGCACTTTTTGTCTTTGGCTGAGAGGGACCAGTGGCTCAGCAAACCAAGGAAAGGGGAATAAATAGCGAAAGGATGATTTCAGACATATCCATATGAGTTGATAAATCATTAATATTTATTTACAGCAAATTGCAGATAATGAACTGTAATTTAAGAGCTACAGAAGTATGTGGGTGTATATGTGAAAGTTAGGGGGACTAATCCATAATATGATTTATGGGGATCTAAGAAAATCAATAGATTTGTCTTGATTGTTACTGAGTGGAGATCAGTCCATTGATCAACCTGACCTCAGCTGAAATGGAAATGAATTGTAAACTCCCACACCAGACTGGTAGCAGGTTCTGTGGATGGTCCACTTCACCATCTCACATTGCAGAGTGGAAACTTGAGGTTCAGTTAAGGTTTTCTGAGCCCTGAAGCAGGGAAACTGGTAGGGAAACAGGAAGCACTGGGACTGAAAAATCCTTGAACCACTGGCAGGTGGATTAATTGGTTTACCCGATGTTATTTCACCAGGGATTTCTCAAAACAATTTCCAAATGTCTTGAGAACATGTCGCTGAACTGAGGGGCAAGGCAATCTAGTTGATGACTAAAAATACATTTGGCTATATAGACCACTGAAGGACAGAGTGATGTAGAGCTGCTCTGAGTGTCATCACACTGCTGATTATGCGGAATATTTTCTCTCGTTTTTATCATTTGTCGCTTGCGCTGTTATTATAAAAGCAATCTTAGGATCATTAGCCTGCAGTAGAGAGGCCCTTTTACACCAGGGCTGTTAAACTGATTTATCATCTGGCATTTTACCAAGTAGGAGGTGTGAGGACTACCGGTTCTCATTTCCAATGTACACAAATAAACAGCAGCGGCACTCTAGCATCCAGCCAGTCTATTTATCACAAGCACAGCTCACGCTGGTGGCCCTGAGCTAGTGTTAGCAATGGCTTTTGGCTCCAACCACTAAAAAAAGCCCCCCTATTTATGTCATGTTTTGATTAATCTGTACTTTTATTTATGATGAACGGTGTCCAGATAACATCAGGCTGTACTTACACCTGCACCTGCATGGCTAAGCATCATCTTAAGTGTACTTTTTGTATAGAACTACATTATCCACTTATACTAATAGGAATTCTCTGTGCTTGTGTGAGGTGTGTGTGTGCGTCTGTGTGTTTCCTTTAAGTGCTTTTGTTTAATTTTTGCTTCTCATTTTATATTTACATCCTAAACAAGAAATACAGGATATTTTAATTTTATTGACAATTTTATGTATTTTAGTATCCCAGTTCAATAAGTCATGCACATTATATAGATTAGGTTTGCACACATTGACGTTTAAAAGCCTTTCTTTCTGTTATGATGATCTTCAGCTTACATAAGACTAATAATAAAACAAAAAACATTCTGAATACAGAAATGTGGGCTTATTGAAAAGCATGTTTAATATCCGGTTAAAGGTCGTTATGTTCAAAAGTTCATTTCAGTCTGACAAAAGAGCCAAATATCCAAATATATAGAATATGATTGTTAATGTAGTTGAAACCAGATATTTAAAAAGGCATATTTTATTTTTCCCTGATATTAAATCAGACTAAAATCTTTCTGTCTTGGGTCATTTAGGATTATCAAAATGATTTATATTGCCAAGCAGCATAACTGTTTGAAATACATGTTTTTTTTTTTTTTTTTAGAGAATATCTTATTTTATATAAAAATCATTATCAATACAAAAACTAGTTCTGCATTGTCAGGAACTGAACTTCTAAACTATATATATACACAGTATGTGTGTGTGTGTGTGTGTGTATATATATATATATATATATATATATATATATATATATATATAAAACATTTTTTCTGAGTATTCTGGGATTTAGCTGAGAGAAATAATCTTGTACTCCCAACTGAGCTACAACCAGAAATATTTAGTCTAATTTAAAATCACACCAACAATAAGTTTGTGTGTCCTTGTATATGTAAATATAAACAGCACATGTGGATTTTTGGTTTTAACTTGGTTGTAACAGAACCACGCTGACCTCCCATTACAAATAAGACTTCCCACTACAGGCTTAGGTAGTGGAAGCAACACTTAAGATGATGCTTGGCTAACTTTTGAAAATATATCACTTGCCTTGCCTCACATTCTATGTATTTGAAAAAAAGCACAACAAAACTGTTGAAAGATCTGTTTTTTAAGGTTGTTTGTGACCTCCTTTTGTCTGAGGTCTACTCATCCTGGTCTGTTATCTTTATTAGAGACATGCTATTCAGAAATCACTGTTATTGTCATGATGTATAACAATACACACTAAATGATTTGTATTTTATATGGTTTATGTTGATATTGGAATAAATTATTCTTTTTCTGTGTTTTTTTTATTGCAGGAATCCTCATACTCATTTGCACTGAAATGCCTTATCAGCCTTTCCACTGTTATTTTGCTTGGTCTTATAATAATGTACCACGCCCGAGAAATCCAGGTGAGTCTATTGATAAAATATTAACTTCAGGGGCGGTTCTAGATGGAGGCCATTAGGGGCCAGTGCCCCTGCAGAACTGATCCCAGTCCCTGTTATGCCTCCTGTACTGAAGAAATGATACTAAATCAGTTTCTTATGCTGATATGCGCAGGCACAGAAACTGTATATAATTGTCCTTTGGAGCAAATTTATTTTTACTTTGAGAATTTTACTTTAACAATGAATTCAAATTTAAGTGTTGCATTTTTAGCTTCACTTGTGCTGAGATGGGATCAAAGATTTCATCTGCAGCCTGCAGCTTTGGAGTTGCAAGTGGCTCTGGTTCTGTGGCTCACTTAATATTTTAAAGGATGGATTATTGCCCTGTTTTTATTGCTTCACTCTTTTGTTTTGTGCCCCCATGAAAGGACACACTGGTCCCTCTGGTAAATTTGGTCTAGAACCGCCGCTGATGAACTTCAGTATGAGTCTGAACTTAATTTTGAGATAAGTATATAACTGTAAAAATAAATTGGATTTTGCAGAATAACTGAAGGAGAAATAGTAAAACAATTTGTTTGCATGATTAGAGGTTCCCTGGTTTGAATCTCAGCTGTAACTCTGAGCATGCCTGAATAATCCAGTTTCTTCCAGAGCAGGGGTCTCCAAATCCAGGCCTCTAGGGCCAATGTCCTGCAGATGTGTCCCTGGTCCAACACACCTGAATCAAATGGCTCAATGACCTCCTCACTCTGTCAGGTTTTCTAGAGTCCTGCTAATTACCTCATTATTTCACTCTGAGTTGAAGCTGAGACACATCTAAACGTCACAGGACACTGGCCCTCAAGGCCTGCATCTGAAGACTGCTACTCTACTCCAAACCAAAAATTATGTGTGTTCATTGATGTTAACAATGTGTGGCTTTCTGATTTTGTGTTTCTTTACTTGATTGACAACTGAACCAAAATGTACCTTGCCTCTTGCCCAATAACTGCTGCACAGACTTGTGGTGAAGAGGGCGCTTAGCCAAAAAGCAAGACTACGTTCCTACCCTCATTTATGGTCATTTATTAGGTTATGATAGAATGAGATTGCCGACACAAGCAGCCAAGATGAGCTTTGTCCACAGCGTGGCTGTACTCTCCCTTATAGAAGCCATCAGGGAGGGACTCAGTCTAGAGTCGCTGCTTCTCCACATCTAACGGAGTCAGTTAAAGGTGTCTCTTGTCATCTTTCCTGGATGCCTCGAAACATTTTTCGGGTATGTTCCTCTGCCAGGATACTCAGCTGGCGTGGGGACACATCCGGCTTCCCCCCCTGATGATCTGGAGGAGGGAAGTCTGGGCTGAAACTGCTGCCCCAGCAACCCTGTTCTACATAAGCAGATGACGACTAGTATGAGGAAATTGAATTGCAGTTCATTTTGATTGATTGATTAATGGATAATGATATGGAGACAGCTAAGTTACGATTTATCAAATTAAACAATTGGAAGATGCTGTACAGTTTTTTTTTTTTAAATAAAAGGAAATACATTCAGCTAAGATGCACTTTGCTTCTTTTCAGCTGTTCATGGTTGACAATGGAGCAGATGATTGGAGGATAGCCATGACATATGAGCGAATCTTCTTTATTGTGCTGGAGCTTCTGGTGTGCGCCATTCATCCCATCCCAGGCCAGTACGTCTTCACTTGGACGGCACGGCTGGCCTTTACCTACACACCGTCTGTGGCTGACGCTGACGTGGACATCATCCTCTCTATACCCATGTTCCTGAGACTCTACCTGATTGGCAGGGTCATGTTACTCCACAGCAAGCTGTTCACGGACGCCTCGTCCCGCAGTATCGGCGCCCTCAACAAGATCAACTTTAACACGCGCTTTGTCATGAAAACCCTCATGACCATCTGTCCGGGAACAGTGTTGCTGGTGTTCAGTATATCCTCCTGGATCATTGCTGCATGGACTGTGCGTGTCTGTGAGAGGTAAACACAGGGCTGTGAATAATGGATGTTGCTAGGTGCAAACCAAGACACAAAATGGCTGATGCACAGTTGTGTTGATTTGTGGATTACTAGATGCCTTCCTTCTTTCCTTCCTTCCACGTTCGTACCTGTCGTGTCTCATTCTCGTCAGTCTTCTCTTGCTTTTTATCACTCACCTGCAGTGGCCCACATGGATGAAATCATTAGCATAGGTCACATAGAAACAAAGCTTACATGTTTGCAGGAAGGCATTCACTGATTCGCCCACATGCGACAGCCCTGTTGAAGTGTTTAAAAACACCCTGACATCTGTCTCATTAGCTCAGCACTCGCTCCACAATTTCCCACTCCTTGTTTTAGATGAATATTGCTATTTTAGATGTCTTGTCCATAATTCATGAGAGCCTAATTGTTTGTTTGCTGAATGGTTTGTTTGGGTAATGCAGAGCAGCCCCCAAAATCCCTTAACCCACTTTCCTCCCCCCCAAAGCTGAGCATCTTGGTCCGTCTCGGGAGGGGTGGTGGGGCGGGTATTGGTAGGAGGGGCATCAGGGAATCTCAGTGAAAATGAAGGAAAGGCAGAAAAAAATGGAAAGCTTTCCGTTCTCTTCCTCGCTTTGCATTTGCATAGGGAAATGAGACGCTAATGTCAGCTTTGATGTTTAAAGTCTTTTTTGCGTGGTTGTTTCAGTGATGTTGTCGAAGAAGATCTAATACAGCAAATTACCCCTTTCTGGTGGTGTAGCTACAGTAGTTCATATTGCATCACAGGGGAGGGTTTGAATTTGTCCAGGTCCTGACCACAGATGCTTAGTTTCTTCCTTAAGCTCTAACTCCCATCCTTCCCTCCTAACTCCGTCCTTGTTAACCTGACACTAACCATTCCTCTCTGCTAGCCTTAGCCTCAGCACTTCAGCTGTTAGCTGGTGGATTTTAATCCTGATAACAGTATTTTACATTACAAACCAGCGCAGAGACAGGCAGACGTTGTTCTAAGCTTAAATACACAGTTGTGAATAACATGTGCAACCTTTACAGAATTCTTCTGTTTTTGTTTTTTGTCCCACTAAAATGGTCCATATCATCAAATAAATTTTAAAATCAGTACAAATAACCTGAGTAAACTACAGAATGCAGTTTTCAGAATGACGATATAATGTAGTAAGCATAAAAGCTGCACATATCCAAACCATCATGACTCTGAGCACATACAGTTGTCCCTGTTGCCAAATCATTAACCAAATCTGATATTTTTTGTTCAGTTTCCGTCTCCCTCCCAGGCCGATTACTGCCAGGATTGTAGAATCTAGAAGTTACTTTAATACAATCCATCTGATAGAAAATCAGTAGTCTATAATACATTTAGAAAATGCAACATGTCATGTTCTAATAAAAAAAAATTCAAGAACCGATCTGACATCTGTCTGGAAAACGGTAACAAAGCCATTTCTAAGGTTTTGAGACTGCAGCAAATACTGGGAACAGCATGAAACTTCCCAGGAGTGTCTGGCTGACCAGAAGAGTCCCTGATGGCTGATCCAGGAGGTCACAAAGGAACCCTGAACAACAGCTGCACCACTCTAGGCCTCCCTTAGACAGGTTTTATGATACAGCAATATGAGAGAGACTCAGATTTTTAGCAAAGCAAAACAGAGGGCTTAGCCAAAGTTTAGACTTAAATTCAGTCTAAACCCTCCAAAGTTAAAAAAAATTCTGCAAAGAGGAGTGGCAAAAAATTCCTTTACTGCAATTTGATGGAGATATTGTCTTTACATGTTTGAAGACAGTTGTTGCAACCAAGGAAGAAACAACTTGTCGTACAGTTGAGGTCAATTACTTTTTCTCACGGGGCCAGGTTGGTTTGGATAGCTTGTTCACTTAATAAATAAATTTGTTATTTGATAGCTGCATTTTATTATTTACTCTGGTTCCCCTTACCTAACATTAACATTAGTTTCACAAAGTTTCATATTAGTAAAGGATTCCATGTGCAGTTCTTGGCATGTAAGAAACTAAGAAAAAACTAAATTCCTGATCAAAGGGCTGGGCGATATAGCAACCTCTATATATACATTCATTTTAATATACTGACACAATACATCATGTAAACCTGTCATTTCCGGGTTTTTGCATTGTTCCTTTTAGACATGCACTAATATCATGGCAGCTTATATTATATTTTCAGCTCACCATTGGACCACATCTGAGCTGATAAATAGACACCACTATTTGAACATAGTTTTAAATGCTAGAGTGACATCAGTGAAAACGGTCATATAAATTAGTTTTAGTTAATCAGAGCTATCATAATTGTCTTAAAAAATATCTTATTTTATTGCCAAACACAAAAAAATCGTGTAATGGAAGGAAAATGTGTGTTTTGAGGCATGTTTGTACCAGTTCTGGATGTCTATAAACATTTAGCAAAACATCTCAAGCTCTGATTGGATGATGTCATCTGAACATCAGTTTTTGGCTCTTGCCATCTTAATTGGATTTAGTTCTGGGCTGACTGAGTTATTCTGACACATGGACATGTGCACTGCTTCAGTGTAGCTCTCGCTGTATGTTCAGGGTCGTTCTCCTGCTGGAAGGTGAAGCTCGCTCCAAGTCTTTACCAGGGATTCTCCCAGGATATCCCTGCATTTAGATCCATCCATCTTCCCATCATCCAGTGACCAGAGACGCTGGTCACTAGATGACTAGCTGTTTGTCAGTGGATGAGGTGGGTTTAGGGTGATATGCAGTATATGTTTTCTGCCACACATAATTGTAGAAAAATAGGATTAATTTGGTGTCTTTTGAACAGAACACCTTCTTCCACATGTTGGCTGTGTGGTTGGAATGGTTTGTGTGAACCTGCAAACAAGGCTTCTTTTAGCTTTCATTTTGTAATGATTTTCTTATTGTCCTTCTTTTATAACTTTTCTCACAGATTTGTGAAATTTGAAAAACTATTTGTTTCTCTGTTGGGGTATTTTCTTATCTGAGCTGTGGATCTTTGCATCTCCTCCAGAGATGGGATTGTTGGCTGCCTGTCTGGTTATTGCTGTCAGTTTAGATGTTTTGGTAGGTTTGCAGCTCTGTCGTAGTGTTTCTATGTTTACATATACGGAATGGATTTGATAAATTATAGCCTGCTCAGTTCCTTGTATACAGTTTCACTGCCTGCATGTCCACTAACAATAAAATTGCGCAAATTGAAATTGTAGAAATAAATTTGTTTATGGAACCATGGCGATTTTGGAAAATTGTATGTTTTTTTCAATAAATAGGTTTTGCACTGGGACAAGGTGGTTTTTCAGCTGTATCAAGATAGAGGTACTTTAAAAAACTCCAGTAGAAATTTTTTTTTCACATCATACATTGCCTGCTCTCTGGTAATGCCGCAGCTTTTTCCAGTCAACAGATCCTGTTGTGAATGCTCAGGCTAATTAGCATAGTCATCTATGACGGTAGATAAGTTTTTTCTGTAATGGTAAGCTGTTTCTCCGCCATTAGGACATTTAGCAGTGAGTAAGAAAGGATGATTGACAGCGCTGAGCCCCGCCTCCTGGCTCTGATTGGTTGTTTTTGGTCTGGAGCTGTACATTTCTTCAGACAACAATAATAGCTCAAGGAGAAGATAGGTGGGACTGAACTTTTCACAGATGATCTGTCTCATAACATACTGTCTATAAACATAGTTTTTCTAAAAGTTGCATCCTGCACCTTTAATGAAAACACCACAATTGCGAAATTGTGTTTTTTTGACATTAGCAGAGTATAGATAAAGATTTGTGTACATTTCATTTGTAATGGAAGTGCAGCTATTGTTCTCCAGTCCATCCTGTTGTGCAGATGGACATCAACGTATACCTTGACCTTAAAGATGGCCATACTGCTGAGTAGTCTGTCAGGTCCCTGTGCTCAGCCTCTTGTCCATTTCTGATAGACCCAGCGACTTAAAGTCATCTAAGTGTTTCTGCAGATGACAGGACTCTGACTTGTACTGGAAGACTGGAGCACACAGTGTAAAAATACATTTTGACAGGACAGTCCCCTGCTGACCTCCTGGTCAAACACAGTCTGTAGTCTCTCAAACTGTGGTCTGTTTGTCAGGAAGTTATTAATTCAGGTGATTATGGCTGAATATTGATGTTTGTACTAATCTTGCCTCGGTTCAGGTTTGCTGACCTTGTGAAAATGAATTTTCCCCTTGTGGGACAACAAAAGTATCTGAATTTGAATCTGAGTCCACCTGTGCCTTCCTGAGTTTCTTACACACTTAAGCAGTCTGGGTTGTGTTAAATGCACTAGAGAAATTAGAGAAGATAAACTCACAGTACTGGCTTATGGTGACCTCTTTACAGCTTTAGGTCCTGAGTGGCTTGTTTACCTTCTCAGTTGGGCCAAAGACATTCTCCCCATAACTTTTATGATGCAAGATGCTTGGACAACAGGGCTTGTAGTGCTAAGTATGGATGAATGAGATTTCCTGGATACTGGAATGAGGCAGGATTGTCTTCCAAAGCACTGCAATTCTTTCCTGGGTTGCGCTGAACTTGAAGAGATGATGCAGGATCCCACAGACCTTCAAATCCTGAGGGTCTGAAACCGTCTGGTTGCAGTTTTGTTCTGGTTCCATCTCTCCACCTTCCTTTCATGATGACAAGACATGGACATGGGGTGAGGTGAAGGAAGCACCAGCCTTCCCTGATATCATTGAAGAAAATAACTGAGCAGTAACCCTAAGATCAATGTCCAAATCAGAAGAAAAATGTGGTGTGAAAAGGAAGTTGTGGGTAAATTGGAGGAAAAGAGGTGTGTCTGGCTGAGAGCAGGTGAGGATGATGCTGGGCTTGTTTCTAAACTGAACATGTTGAGGAAGGTCTTTAGTTCAATGGCCCTGTCCACCTCACACCATCTGACCCTCTTGTTATGTCTGAAGTTGATTTTGTGCACAGCTCAGTAATTTCCCTGGCTTCTTTTCTCTGGTATCTCCTTTTTCTCTTTCAGTC